CGGAACCGCGGGCCGGGTGGCCGCTCCAGGGACTGCGGCGGAGCGGTAGGGAGGGGGCTGTAGCGGACTGCTCCGCCGAGCCGCGGAGCCTGGATTTTGCGTGGGGCCTCCGCCCTAGGATTGGGGGCGGGCAGACTCGGAGGCTCATCCCCTGGGAGACGTGAAGGGAGGAGATAAAGGCGGGCTTCTCCGAGGTGCAGCCCCTCTCGCTGCCCAGCGCCCCCATCCTGCTGCACCGGAGCTGCTTCTCTCGCCCCTCCCCACCCTCCCCCTCCCCCATACCACGCAGCCTGCCCCACTCCGTCTACAGCACGCGGTGCGCACCCAACCTGGCTGTGCACCGTGATCCCCCCTCATCCGTCCTCCCCCCAACCTTCCCACACTCCACCCCATCCCGCCCACCTCACCCTCTTCCATTCCTCATCTTCACCCCTTCCCAGGTGGGTGTGTCCCAGACACAAGGGCCGCAGAATGCCCTGTCAGACCCCGAGCTCCTGATGGTGGCGCCCAGAAAGGAGAGAGCGGCTCTCCAGGGCTGCAGGCTGTCCAAGCCCAGAGCAGCAGGCCCCCTTCCAGGTTTGGGAAAGGGGGGGCCCCCTCCTCCTTCCCTGCAGTGCCCACTGTTCAGGTTGCTCCAGGGGGTCCCTCAGTACGGCCCCTCCACTGCAAGGTGACCTGTTACTCGACTGCTCAAGCCAGCGGGCTTTCCCTGTCCCTGCTGGACTGCACTCTGGGATCACGTCTGAAATGGTGCTGTCTTGCTTTCCAAGGTTGGTTTGTCCTCTGGAACCTCTTCCCTTCCCACCCGTGGACACGAAGCCTTCATCTCAGCTACTCCACCTGGAGACACCAGGCCCTCTTGATGGGGTCAGAAGTGGGCACAGGGACCTCCTGAGTTGCAGAGAGTGGTTTACATGGTACCGTCTCTCTCAGCTTCCTTCAGAGCCTCATGGTCCTCAAAGGCTTTGCGTTGCCACCCTGCACGCTCTGCTGGGCATTCTCAGCCCTTGTGGGTTTCACGTGACACCTGGGCCAGTGGCATCTCCCAGCCAGTCCCCTCGGCTGTACCCCAGGGCCAGCTGGCACCTCCCCGGGAGTTCTCAGCTCAGGGCACTTGGCCTTGAGAGCAGGGACTGCTTGGTGATGTGTTTTCCCAGAAGCTAGATGGCCACATGGGAATGCCCAGAAGATATTTGATAGTTACGGGAATAAATATGTTTCTATCTTTAAACTTTCTGGATAAATTAGAAACATTTTGAGAATAAAACCCAAGCTTATTATTTTAAATTATAACTTCTGTTAGGTAAGGATTAATGAGAAAGCTCCTATACCTCAGCTTTTCTAGGTGAGGCTGGACCACAGTGTTTTTCAAATTTCTGGCAAGTAAGGGCTGGAAAAAGCTGGCATTTGAAGATGAGATGGGCCTGCTGTCTCTAGGTCCACTCAGCTCCCCTCCTTCCTGGGGCCTGAGGGAAACCACAGAAAGAAATTGTTTGGCCTTCAGGAGATTTTTAACCAGTTTCTTGGCTACAAGGTGGGAGGAGGGTGTGGGCTCTTCAGGCCCAGGAGGAAGCCCTCTTGGAACAGAGGGGCAGTGAGAGCCGCCCCTCCTCAGGGCCCCACTGCTGTGGCAGAGGATGGCCGGCAGAAGTTGGGGCAGACCTGGGGCTTCCTCCAAGGTTTTCAGTGTCTGGTTAAGCCCCTCCCTGGTCCCACACTCAGAACAGCCCCCAGCGAGTTGCTCACCCGGAGGAAACAAGGGAGTTTCTCTCAGGAGACCAGGATGCCCCAGGACGCCGGGCGCAGCGGGGGCTGCAGTGGACAGTACTCTTTTACCTCTCGGCATCCTTTCCCCCGTTCTGCTCAGAGAATCCACCGTGTGTCCCCTGGGGAGCCAGCCCCCACCTATTTTCCACCCGCGGCTTCTGGCTGTGACTGCCCCTCCCTGGGCCCTGTGAGAGGTGTGATGTGCTGCAGTCTGAGCTGCTCTCCGCCCCAGACTCCGGGGGGAGGAGCTTGAGACTGGCCAGAGCAGGCAGACAGGACTGAGAGAGGAAGGGAGGTGCACCCCGTGACCAGGGGTCAGGCAGCGCCAGAGCTGACAACAAGGACCTTATCTGGACGAGGTCTTTCTGTCACCTGTACTTAGAAGGCCTCCCCATGATGACTGATCCCTGCCCCCTCATTCTGACGGGCCCTGCAAACACAGGGAACTCCCAGGCGGCCCTCCTCCCACCCTTCGTTTTAAAGTATGAACAACCACCAGCATTTATCAGACATTCAGAGTAAGAAAGTCTGCAACGCAGCAGAATGCAACCAATGTAAAGAAACAAAGAAAAAAAGGCTCAAGAAGTTTGAGGAATTAGAGGAAAACCTAAAAAACAAACATTAAAGAATAATTCAGTTCATAGACTCAAAGACTGGAGGAGATACTGCAGTTGTCTAAGAACAGGATGCAGCAATGAAGGAATAGCTAGAGACCAGGAAAGAACTTCTGAAAAGACAAGCTTGCAAGAAACAGAACAACCAATGGGAGAACTGAATCATAAAGTTAAGGGAAGTTTTCTGGGTGAGCAGCAAAATGATGGCAAGTGTGAGAGGGCCCAGTGTGGGGCTCTGAGGTCTGACTGACGGTTGACCGAGGAGAGAGGGCAGGGGAGACTTGGCGGCACCACGTCCAGAGGCAGGGGCATGGTGTGAGCAACCTTTTTATGAGACCCTGAGCCTTTCCTCTTAAGACATATCAGGGAAGTACAGGAAAGAAATTCAGGGCACTTTATGTCTGAATATCAGTGTGGAAATTCTACATAAAACACAAGGCCACTGCCCCCAGCGCTGCATCCGGACGCCGTCATGGCCAGCTCGGGTCCAGGTGGTCTCACGTCATCACACAGGTCAGCATGCATCACTCATCAGTGCACCGTGGGGGGGGGGATGCGTGTGGTTTTCTGAAAAAAAAAAAAAAAAAAAAAAGCAGACAGAGAATTTCACTTCTTAATTTTCAAATGTTATTTTTATTGAAATATATTTGACACACAACATTTTGTAAATTTAAGGTGTCCAGCGTGCTGATTTGAGACATTTACATGCTGCAATATGATTGCCATTGTCAGAGCATTTGACTTCCATCTACATTCATTTGTGCAGAAGAAAATGCCAAGAAAAGTAGTTGTAGAAATGAATTTTTTAACTTGATGAAGGCTCTATTTCAAAAAAACCCTCAGCAGATGTCATACCCAATGGAGAGCCCTCAAATGTGTTCCCTTAGACAATAAGAACAAGAAAAGCTTCCCACTCTCACCGCTTCCATTTGTGACGGTAGAGTCGGGTATGAGCCCAGAAGAGGGGGGCACTGCAGCTGGAGAGGGCCTGAGGGTGCATGGGGGCTCTGCCCCACAAAGAGGGGCTAGGCAGGGCCTGCCTGCTCTCCCCTCCCTTCCTCTGGCCTGGACTGTGGACTTGGTGCTGGGGTTTGTGGCTGCCATCTGGAGCCTGCAGGGTGCTGGACACGCAGGCTCAGTGGGCAGGTGGGAGGTGGGGGGAGCGTCCTGGGTCCTGGAATCTGCCAGTCCTGCACCCACCATGGTCTGACCTCTTCTCCCCGTTGGTTTAAGTGAGTGCTACCTGGATATTCTGGGTCTGCAGCTACATGAGTGTCTTGGAATTGATAAAATAGAATTTCTCTACCAGAAGAAGAAATAGCTACAAAATAGAAAATAAAATGCCATTCATAGCAGCTACTAATTCTGTAAATAACCTCCCACAATGCAAAAGCTCTCTATGGCAAAAGTAAAAAACAAAATCATTAAAGAACATGAAAGAAAACCTGGATAAATGGGGGAGGAACAAAGACAGCACAGCTTGATATGGTGAGTGGCCCTTCTCCGCAGCAAACCCCCAAACTCAATGAAATTCCAGTAAGACTCTCAGGAAACTGCTGGTAGCTGAACTGAGTGTCTACCATTTGTACGTTGAAATCCTAACCCAGGCACCTCAGAGTGTGACTGTATTGGGGGCAGGGTCTTTACTGAGGTGATTAAAATGGGGTCACAATCGTGGTCCTGACCCAGCGTGACTGGTGTCCTTGTAAGCAGAAGAGATCAGGACGCAGACGTGCACACAGGGACGACCACATGAGAGCACGGGGGAAGGCGGCCCATCAGGAGCCAAGGAGAGAGGACTCCGAGGAACCCCACCCTCATGACAGCTCGTCTGCGACTCCTGGCCTCCAGAGCTGGGGGAAGATGGCTTTCTGGTGTGTAAGTGGCCCTACCTGTGGTGTTTTGCTGCGGCGTCCCAGGCAAGCTAATACAGAGCCCAGGGGTCCCTGAAGCCCACGTGGAGAAGTAAAGGCTGAACAGAAGGAGCTCCGAGAAAGACGACCGGGGAAGACGGCCCCGCCGTACCAGACACTAAGATGTCGCGGCGTCCACGGAGGTAGCCCTGTCCTGGTGGGCCGGATGCAGCCCAGTGCGAGAGAAGGGCTCGCTGACAGACCTCGCGGGAACTTGTATGTGTGCACAGAAATGGAAGCAGACTGAGAATTTGATAGAGAACGGGAAACTATGAGAAGAACCAGATGGAAAGTCTAGAACTAAAACAGAGTAGATGCATAGAAAGATTTAGCAACCTGGAAGGTCTGAAGAAGACGGACCGTGCCGAGCAGGCTGCTGGGAGGTGGAGGGGACCCCACAGAAGGTCCACACACGCACCTTGGGAACAGAAGGAGAGGAAAGAAAGAATGAGGCAGACCTGGTGTCTAAGGAATAATCGCTGATAATTTTTAAAAATCGATGGGAGAACTTGTAGAAGCATGAGAGACTGCGAGCACGGTGACCCGAAGACACCAAGCTTCCAGCAGTGGGGGAACCAGTTACCTGCCCGCAGTGACGGTAAGACCCACAGGTGACCTCTCAGCAGCAGCAGGGAGCAGCCGGCGAAGCGGAGCTGCGGGAGCAGAGCCTGGCTCCAGCCTCGCAGAGCTGACAGTGCAGGGGTGGTCAGATGCTGAGAAGCAACAGATTAACGGCCAGGGCAGATCAAAGTCAGTGTCATTCGTACAGGACTAGAAGGAAGCTGATGCAGCTGTGTCAGCGACAGACACAGTGGCCTAAACCTAGAAGATTAAGCAGAAGATAGTACTGGAGACACTTCTTAGCAATAAAAGGTTTAATTTACAAGGTGATAGAACAATTCTAAATGTCATGCACCTAAAGACATAACCTCAAAATACAGAAAGGAAAATAGTGTGAAAGAGACTCACAGCACAGAATCATTTATGTGGGTTAAAGCACACCCACCAGGAACACAACGCATCTGCTGACAAAACACAAGTCCTCCTCCCGGGAGGCACGCTGAGCACTAGGCGCTGGTGCGGGGGGAGGGAGGGGGCTTGGGGTGTGTGGGCAACGGTGAGGTCGGGACAGCCAGGAAGAAGGGCCGTGCTGGATTAACCCGGCTTCTGCCCCCAAGTGCCAGGGGAGAAGCGGGGCGGCAGGTCAGGGAGGGGGTGCCACCTGCTCACTGGGCCCGTCAGGCTTTGGATGAAAAACATTCTTGTTTCTGAGGGAAGTGGCAGGTGCTACTAGTGCCGCCGGACCTGCCGGGAAGCCTGAGTCCACCGGCCAGCTGAGGGTGGCTGCAGGTTCCACTCCGAGGAGCTGGGATCTCAGGCAAAGGAGGCCATCCAAGTGGGCGCAGGGGCGGGGCACATGGGGCCCAGGAGGGCCAGGCAGAGGGGCTGGCCACCACAGAGACTGACCAGGTCCGAGGTGGAGTGGGACCTTCCCGGGAGCTGGAGATCAAGCTCCCCGCTGCTCAGGAGCTGTCCCCTGCTCCGGTGCTGAAGCTCCCTGGAGAGGCGGCAAGAGCCTTTGGAGCTTCAGCTGCTGCCACTGTGCTCCCGTCCCAGGGTGAGGGGAGGAGAGGAGCTGGCTGTGTGCGCGGGTGGGAGGGGGCCATGGCCTGCCTGGTGTGGGCTGATGTTCGTGAGCAGATGGCAGAGGAGGGCTTTGAAATTCTCCTGCTGCTGGTGCTCAGGAGCGGCCAGGGGTCCGGTGGAGTTTGGCCAGGGCCTCCCTGATGTCACGGTTCCGCAGGCAGTAGATGATGGGGTTGAGCAGTGGGGTCACAACCGAATAGACCACGGACACCAGCTTGTTGAGGTCAAAGGAGCTGATGGCGCGAGGCCGGGCATACATGAAGATGGTGGTGGTGTAGAAGATGGCCACGACCACCAGGTGGGAAGCACAGGTGGAGAAGGCCTTCTGGCGGCCGGCCCTTCCTGAGATCCTCAGCACTGTGGCCAGGATGCGGGCATAGGAGACCATGGTCACCAGCAGGGAGGTTGTGAGCACAGCCAGGGCTGCTATGAAGTCCAGCACTTCGATGGTGGTGGTGTCTGAGCAGGAGAGCTGCAGCAGGGGTGAGATGTCACAGAAGAAGTGGTTGAGGACATTGGGGCCGCAGAACCTGAGGCGGGAGATGAGAGCCGTGGACACGAAGGAGGCCAGGAAGCCACCCAGCCAGGCGCTAAGGGCCAGGCTCAGGCAGAGCCTCCAGTCCATGATGGCCGCATAGTGCAGTGGGCAACAGATGGCCAGGTACCGGTCACAGGCCATGGTAGCCAAGAGGAAGCACTCAGAGGAGCCCAGGGAGAGGAAGAGGAACAGCTGGGTGAGGCACCCTGAGAAGGAGATGGTCCTCGCCCAAGCCAGGAGGCCGGCCAGCAGCTTGGGGATGGTGACTGAGGTGTACAGGGTCTCCAGCACCGACAGGTTGGCCAGGAAGAAGTACATGGGTGTGTGCAGTTGGCAGCTGGCTCCGACAGTCACCACAATGACCAGGTGCTCCAGGACAGTCACCACATAGATAGTGAGGAATGACCCGAACAGCAGGGCCTGCAGATGGCACAGCTCTGGGAAGCCCAGCAAAATGAACTCTGTCACCAAGGTCTCGGTGGAGTTGCTCATAGCCGCGCCTGGCAGGGAGGTCACTTCTGAGCACCCTGGACAGCAGAGAGATGCAAGTGTGATGTGTGCTGGGCCAGGCCCTCTGCTTCACTGAGCAGGCGGCTGGGTCATGAGAGCTAGGTGGGGGCACTGTCACCCCTTCTCAAAGCTGCTGCAGCAGCACTAACATGCCCCCCACCTCTGAGTCCAGCACACGTGGTACCCAGAGCTCACACCTGGCCAGTATGTGCAGATACACCTCTTCCTTGCACACTGAGGTGGAAGCTCTCGGGTGCATATTCTTCTCTGCCCCAACACACAGGCACGTGGACAGGTGTGGGAGTGTGCACGCTCATACACACACACACACACGCACATCCAGGTGCATGCACACACACATCAGATGCACAAACACCCAGTCACATAGGTGGCGTGTGCACACAGCAGGAGAAAAGACCCAATCTGCCTGGTGTGCCTTCTTGCCCTGTGTGTCTGGGCACTTCCCTGTCCTCATCCATGCCGGCTCCAGGGGCTGCTCCTCCATGCTGCTCTCCGGCCAGGTCTCCCCAGGGGTTTGCGGGGCTAGGGTGGGAGGGTTCCTCCCCGTCTTTGTCGTACCACGCGGACCCTGCCTTGAGCTGGCCTGATCTCTTTATCCTGTGTTTTCTGAGCAGCAAAGTAGCCTTTGAGGGATGGATGGAGGCAGTCACTCAGAGCCTCTCAGGGGTGGCGGTTTGGGACTTTGGTGCCAGGACACCCAGGAGTTGGGTGTCTGAAGGATGGGCAAGTGGCAGGGAGGCGGCAGGCTGGGGCAGAGCCGAGCAGGGTTCACCGCTGGTGGGCAAGGGGCTTTTGGGTCCTCCTGCCCGCCTCCTCGGCCCCTCTCCCACTCTGCATGGTTGGTTGGAGTCTATTCAGCAGGACTGGGGGTGCTGGAGGCAGAGGGAGATTCCTGTGGGCAAGTGTAATTCTTGGGCGACCCTCAGGCAGTTCTTCCTACAGTTTATCCTCCCTGCGCAGCAGCTGAACTGGCGGCTGCTCCTGGCTCACCTCGAAGAGTCTGGAAGACTCCCCCACTGGCAGTGACCCAAGCTGAGCCCCGCGGGGAGGGGCTGCGGGAGGGCTCAGAGCCGGTGGTGGGTGCAGACCTGGATGCGGAGGAGACTGAGGACTGTGCCCCAATCCCTGGCAATGTGGCAGAAGAGCCTGGTCCTGTGAAGGGTCTGCAGAACCTGGGTCCATGGGCCAGCTTGGACCCAGGGAATCAGGGCTCCAGGAGCCCATGCCCCGCTGTCTGTGCCATGCAGCTTGATGGTTGGGGGCACCGGGAAGGTGCTGTCCACGTAGTCTAACCCAGGCCCTTGCCTCCAGATCAAGGTCACCGCCAGCCTCCCTACCCCCTTCCCCTTGCAGAAGTGCACCTCTGTGTCTCTGCAGGTCTGGAGTGAAGGTCTGGGGGAAGCACAGCCTCTCACTGGGTCCTGCTGCCTTGGGACCCAGGTAGCTTTTATGGGGCTCATTAATGGCCTTGCCCCCCCTCCCCCATCTTCTGGAGGATTCTTAATTGCAAATCCTCACCCCTGTGAGACTCAGAGCAATTCGTGGAGGCGTCTGCAGGGTCCATGGAGGGAATGTGTCACTGGCTGGGCTCCTCTATGGGGCCTTCCCACCTTCCTCTCGGGACACGTAGAGCTTTGCCGATTACCTTGCTCCCGGCTTCAGGGCCCTTCCCCTGAGGCCCAAGGGGAGTGGATGCTGCCCAGTATCTTTCAGAACATCGACTTCATTTTATTTCTTTTCCATGCATAGCACTTATTTATTCATTTAGTTAGAAAATAATGTAGCAAACTCTTGTAAACCTACTCTCAACTCAAGATCTAGACCATGGCTAATTAATGACCCCAGCTCCCCCATCTCAGAGGGACCACTCACTGGGATTCCTTTGCTGTTCAGAGCATCTTCACGATAAATAATGCATTGCTGAGTTTTGCTTGTGTTCAGATGTTATTAACAAAGGGTATCACGCTATATGCTGTCTTCTGGGTCTTGCATTTTTTGGTGCTAAGATTCTTAATCTTCTTGATAACTGTACTGAATTCATTCTGACACCTGCATCTGCATCACAATTCATGGATTTGTGTTTTGTGCACAGCTTCCGATCGCCACGTACCAGTGTTTCTCTTGGAGCTGCATGGAGGACAGGAGTGCTGGGGGTGAACTTGACATGCAGCTTTACAAGAAAACGCCACATTCTTTCCCCAAAGTGGCTGCACTGTTTACACTCCTATCCTTGAATTACATTCTCTCCAGCAGATGGAGTGGTGCAGTCCTGAACCTCGGCCAGTTTAGCTTGTGAAGATAGCGTCTCACTGCGCCGATGAATTGCCTCTGCCTAGTTCCCTTGGAGAGGTTAGTGTCGACGTGTGCTTCTGCTCCCGTGAGACCTTCTGTGTGTGTGCTTTGCCCATTTCTCTCCATGGTGTTGTTCGCTCCTTACTGGTTTGCAGGACTTCCCTATACATCCTTTTCTAAATTTCTTTATTGAGGTGTAATTTACACAGTGAAGCGCACAGACCTTAAGCGTTAAGTCTGAATGCTCACAAGCTCGGAACTCACACCTCATCAAGACACAAACTTCCTTCACCCCAGAATGCCCCGCACACCCCTCTGCAGCCAGCCACTAACCCCACTTTGAGGCAACCCCTGTTCCGATTCTTTCTTCGTAGATGAAGTTTGCTTTTCCCTAGGGTGTAACAGAAGTAGAACTGCATAACATCCCCTCTTGTGTCTCCAGCTTCTGTCAGCGTGGTTCGAGGCATGTCCGGGCTGTGTGTGCCTCTTCCATTGTGTAGATGCACCGTGGTTATCTGGAAGGTGCTGTTAGATTCCCAAATACTGGGAGACTTTCTGGAGATGTTTCTCTGTTACTGATCTATGTTAATTTCACTGTAATCAAAGAACATACTTTGCATAGTTTTGAATCTTTTGAGATTTGAGATTTGTTTTATGGCCAGGAATCTGGGTCTATATTGGTGAAGGATCTGTGTTCACCTCAGTGCTGCTGGGCGGGGTGCTCTGTAGACATCAGCCAGGCCAGGCCGCTTGACCGCAGTTTTCAGTCTCCTATGTCCTTGCTGATCGTTCTGTTATTTACTGAAAGGGGGATGTTGAAGTCTATGGCGATGGTTGTGTCATGGTCTTTCTGTCTTTCGGAGTCTATTGGCTTCTGCTTCATGCATTTTTAGGCTGTTACTAGGTGCCTAAGGTTCGGGAGTGTTTTGTCCTTCTAAGGAATCGGCCCCCTTCTGTGATGACGTCACTCCCCTTATCTCTGGCAGTATCTGTTTCTCTGAAATCTCCTTGGCCCGATGTTAATTGTTTCCAGCTTTCTCTGATTGGTGTTAGCACGGTGCGTTTTTCACCATTCTTCACCGTGAGCCTCTTTGTGTCTTTCTGTTTAGATGATGCTTCTTGTAGGCAGCACACGGCTGGGTCTTGCCTTTGTGTCCAGCCTGACAGCCCCTGCCCTTGGCCTGGGGTCTCTGTTCACGCTGAGTGGGGTTGCTGATGTGTTTGGGTTTCAGTCTGCACATCGCTGCTGCTCATTACTTGTCCTCTCTGGCTTTGTATCCTGTGTTATCTTTTCCTGCCCTCTTTGTGGTTGTTTTTTGTCACCTTTGCTCTCCTATTGCCTTTAACTCTTTGTTTCGCTACCTGAGTAGTTGTTTCAGGGCTAGCATTTGTCTCTAACCTGTCAGCCTGCCTCCAAGCGGGGTTTTCCACCTCATGTGGGAGGACCGAAGCAGCGTGCCCCTTCCCCTGTCCTCCTGGCCTTCGTGCCATTGTTGTCCGGTGCTTTATTGTCACATGTTATAAACCCCACAACACGTTGTTGTTATGTTTGTTTATACAGACAGTCGTCTTTCAAAGAGAATTAAACAGTAAGGAAAACAGAGCGTATTTACCCACGAAATCGCCATTCACTGTGCTCTTCATCTGTGTGGGTCTGCGGTTCCCTCGGGCATTTCTTCTTTCTTCTTGGAAGAGTTCCTTTAATATCTCGTGCAGTGCTAGCCTGCTAGTGAAGTATCCTCTCAGCTTCTGTTCGTATAAAAACACCTGTATTTTACTTCGGTTTTGAAGGTATTCTCCGTGTACGGGAGTCTGGGTTGACAGGGCTTTTTTCTCTCTGTGCCTGAACGATGTTGTGCCGCTGCTTCCTCACTTGCGTTGTTTCTGGTACGGCATGTGCTGTCATACTCACCTTTGCTCCTCTTTATATGACGTTCTTCTGGCTGCTGTAAGAATTTTCTCTGTCATTGGTTCTGCACATTTGGTTGTGAGGTGCCTGGTGTCGTTTCTGTTTTCCGAACTGAGATTCATCGAGCAACGAGGACTTGTGGGATTATAGTTTCTGTCAAAGCTGGGAAGCCTCTGGCCACTGTTCCTTCAAGTATCTTTTGTCTCTCCCTTTCTTTGGGGATTCAGTTACATGCGTGTTAATCTGCTTGAGGTTTTCCCACAGCTCACTGATACTCTGTTAACAAAAGTTACTCTCTTTCCTTTGTGTTTCGTACTTTGATAACTTCTATTGCTATGTCTTTGATTTTTTGGTCTTTTCTTCTGCAGTCTCTCCTCAGCTGCTAATCCCATGTGGTGTATTTCCCATCGCAGGCCTTGTAGTTGTTGCCGCTGGAAGTTTGGCATAGGTCTTTTAGAATATCTTCCATTAAAAAGCTAAAGCTCTAAACTGTTCTTAGAAGCAATGAACAGTACACATATGTAAATTAAAAAACGTGCAGTGTATTGTATACATGTATTTGTATGTAATGCATTGTACATGTTCAGTCAGATTGTATCAATTTTACCTAAAAAAGAGAGAGATTACAACAACAGTGTCATCAAAGATTTTAATATTGTCCAAGGTGCCACATCAGAATTGATAGAAATTTCATGGTCATTACTTCTTTGTCATAGAATGATGTTTGCCAGGTTGTTAGAAAAATAGCCTTAATAACTAAAGAAATGCAAAGGGAAAAAGGCCCCCGAGTCCCTGCTTCCCTGTCTGAACGTATGGAGCACAGCTGGAGCCCACTTCAATGTCCTTGTCCAGTTCTAATTTTCTCTATGCTGCTCCTTTGCAGAGAACTTTTCCCTCTGTCCCGAGCGCTTGGCAGTCCGTTTTCTGTCCCCATAATTCTGGCTTTCCAGGCTGTTACATAAATTGTGTCAGATGAGTCTGTGGCTTTTGAATGTGGCTCTCTTTACTCAGCGTGACACGTCTGAGAGACCCACGCGGTGTGTGTCCTTCACTCACTCGTTTGCTGGGTTGGTTGTGCTGTTCACTACTAAAGTTTGGGAATTGTTGATTCTGAATATAAATATTGTATCAGACACTTGGTCTGTAAGTGTTTTTCAAACCGTGTCCTGTATTTCCATTCTATTGATTGTGTCTCTTGAAGATCAGACGCTTGTAATTTGATGAAGTCCAGCTCATCATTACTTTCCTTCATGGATGTGCTTGTGTTACTTCTAAGAAATCTTTGCCGAACTCAGGGTCTCAAAGATTGTCTTCTTATGCTTTCTTCCAGAGGTTTTACAGTTTCAGGTTGTATGTTCAAGTCTGTGATCTACCTCGAGTTAATTTTTGGATAGGGTGTGACT